ACCAAACACCACCTAAATTATCCGTATAAGGGTTGGGTTGCATGACATTTTTGGTTAGGGAGGATGATGCATAATATTAGTTTTTGAAGTTGCTCCAAGCAATTTTCCCAAATATGTATTGATTCGGTAGATGATAGTAATTTGACCTATAGATTAATAAATTTGAGGCCAATTCTAATGATGCAGACTTTAGTTTGTAAATATGTACTGATTCGGTAGATGGGTAGATGGTAGTATTTTGACCTTTAGATTAATAAATTTGAGTCCATTTTTAATAATGCAGACTCTAATCTTAAGCCTTTTCAGTTATGTCAAGCACATTGAGAGACTCTCATTTAAGTTTTTTTTTTTAGACATCTTTCTACCAAATTAGCTATATATTTATTTATTTTTTTCAAAATTTATACGTTTCCATGTAAATATTTTATATCTGTGCATAATTTCTCTCCCGGTATATCTGTATTTTACTTTGACGACTATAGCGTAGGAGCTCGATCTACTTATTGAATCGTGTATATTCATATTTCTATTCGTAACTTGTAAGTGAATACAGGGATAATATGGCATATCCGATTCACATCTGATCGGGTCTCACTCCTAAAAATGGATTTGGATCCTCTCCACTACAAAAAAGTAGTGGAGAGATCACTGCTTTTAATCTCAATCGTTGATTATTTAGTAGGCGGTTATGATACAATCTAAATCTAACACTTACCATACCCCCGTGTATTGCACTCATTCCTAATTTACACTAAACGAAAAAATCACAACCATTAATTAGATAATCAATGGCCGTGATTATGTAGTGGTCCCTCCACTGTTTTTTCTTTTTTTTTTTTTTTTTTTTTTTGTAGTGGAGAGGATCCGAATCCCCTAAAAATATACATAGGTTGAGTTCTTTTACAGGAATGATGCACTAAATTAATGAGCGCATGTCTACGCTTGGGTTAGGTTCACTTATGTACGCATTGTCACCATTAGTTGACTAACCTAGGTACCATCCAAAAAGACTTTAATTTGGACAGCACCTCAAACATTATCTCTATTGAATTAATTTTCTTGTGTACGTCTACAAATGTCCGTAGATACAAACCGCAGTAGTATTGTGATTACGGGTTGTCTCCGTCCATTTCTTCTTGGTCGAAAACACGTGTTAATATAATATACGGACCGCGGTGATTTACTCGGTTGTACAATTTTACAGTTAGATAAATTAACTATTGGGAGGGGGGAACATAGAATCAAGGTTTAATGTTAAATCTCGTGTTCTACTTATTAATATTCTCCTTGAAATTTAGAGTTTTTACTTTGAAATACAATATTTATATAAACTATATTTTTGAAATTGGTAGATATATTGAGAAAGTCTGTATATTCATCGCCCAAAGTTCATTTTAACAGTGATTCATATTTCGCTAAAGCTATATAAAAATGAAGAATTGTAGTTTAGACAATAGAATTTTCGTAGCTCCCTTGAAGAATGTATTTATCATTTTTAGGAGAAATGATATAAAACAATTATCATTTTAATTTGCATAACTACTCAACTCTAGGCCATTAGAAGGTATGTATATATACTGAAAGACATTTTTATCTTTTCTATTTTGACTTGAACGGGAAATTCATAATTTATAGGGGATACTTTTTTCCCTAATAAATATCAATGGAGTTGTATGTTATAAGGCATATAAATATTGAATGATAAGCTTATTTTCAAAATAAAATATTAGACATAAGTAAACCACAATTCAAACATCAAATGGAAATTTCAGTAGGTCTTAATCCAAATATTATCAAGAGTTAAAATATATTTAATTATATAATTAAATATAATAATTTGAAAATATATGAAAAGTACTCTACTTATTGTGTTTAATGTGTTCTTAGGGAGGTTAGTCACTTAGAACTTAAAATTAGAACTGAGATAATCTGTGTGATAAATTTTTAAGTTGTTAGTCACATAGAACTAAAACTAGAACAAAATTTTACAGTATTAGTCAAGTAAAACTCTAACAAAACTAGAATTTGGGTAATGGTACAAAATTATCTCACTTATTTGATTTTATTTTATTCAAAAATGAGAGTTCTAGTCTCTTAAATAATTCCAAGTTTTAGCTTGAAACTAGTTGGTAAAAAAACTAGAACTCATATTTATTTTGTTTTTTTTTTACTTCTTTCCTATTATGGTTATCACCATCATTAGACCATTATTATAATAATAATTGTCAATATCTTATAGTCTAACCAAAAGTTATTTAATAGTAAAGAACATTCTTGTAAGCAATTATCAATCAATAACAATAAGTTTAAAATACATAAATAGTATTTATATCTTCACAATATATAAATATATATTTCATGATTATAAAAAAATTTATCCCATATTATTTTATCAAAATATTCCGCTTCACAAAAATGTTCCTATTTATCCCACTAAAATATCCCACTGACGAAAAATTATTCCACTTTAACAATTATCTCATTTTACATGAAAATGTCCCAATTGACTAACACCACCTTAGCACGTTTTTAATTTATTATTTATTTATTTTCTTTTTGGAAATTCTAAAAATTCAGTTGACAGTGTGCACTTGCACATTAAGTATCGCTACGCTTTAGCTAGTATGATAAAATGAACAAATATGACACTTTTAATCAATAGAAGGATGGCCCATTTCTAGTTGAAGCTTTTGTTTTCAATCGAAAAAAGCTTCCTTAATATAGGAGCATGAATCTATATTCTCTCAATTTAAATTCAAAGATTTTATCCTAATTGAGCGTACCTCTCAATAATTCCACTAAATCACCTCCAATAACCTCATCCCTAACTTACCATACAAAAATCCAACCAAATTCAAACTCACTCAAAACTTTGCCAAATGCATTAATCTAGCACCTCCTCTCTTAACCCCCCACCTAAATCACAGCATATAATCTCATTCTTTCCACTTTCACCACCTTTTTAATTTGTCTCTCTATAAATCCTCCATGCACCCCAAAAAAACATTGATCGAGGGGGGGAAAGCCACAAAAATGCCCAAAAAAATCATCCACAAATCGCTCTGCGCTAATTTCTCCGAGCTCAAGAAACCCCCTCAAGCACCTCTCAATTACAAAACGCCCCCGCCGCGCAGGCGCCACCCTCTCCGACGTGGAACCGCTACACTCTCCGCGAGAATTCTCCTCCCTCTGCTACTAGATCCTCCGTCCCTCCTCCTCCTCCAGCGGCGCAGCCGCACGCTCCACCGCTTGGCCCACCGAGCGCGACGTGTTTGTCCGGCCCCGCCGACTTCTCCCCCTCGAGGTTCACCGACCCGCCGCTGACCGCCATCCAGCGCATCGCCAGCCGTGCGTTCTTCGTGCGCCGGGCGCCACACGTCCCAATCGAGGAGGCCCGTCTCAGCGCCGCGTCAGCGGCCGGGGCCGAGGAGGAGGACGGAAGGACGGCGGTGGTGACGGTGTCCGAAGACCCGTACGTGGACTTCAGGAGGTCCATGCAGGAGATGGTGGATGCTCGACACGTGGACCCTTGTCGGCCGTTGGACTGGGACTTCTTGGAGGAGCTGCTGGCTTGCTACTTGGAGCTTAACGAGAGGAGCGTGCACGAGTGTATACTGAGGGCGTTTATGGACTTGACGGAGGGGTTACGGCGTCAGAGGATATCGGAGACCGTGAAGCGGAGGAGAAGGAGGATGGACGTCGGGAAATTTGTGTGACTTCCAACTTCCATTTTTGAGGTTTTTGTAGCGCGTATGTGAAAAAGAAAGCACAAATTCTACGAGGACGGCCCGCTTGAGGGTACGCTGATTGTTCTGATAGAATATTTATATTCTGTAAAATCAAGTATTTTTACAAATTAATGTGTCTATTGCTTTTATAATTGTCATACATCGGCTTAATTTGGACGATCTTTGTGCGTGAGATCGATTATCACTGCGTATGGTAAGGTACGATTCTTATGAAATATGTAGTGTTAGAAAAGACTGAAGATGTTTCGTTGACTCGAGATAATTAATTAAGAATATTGTAGAAGATTTAGCATTTTTTATTTGTTTTAAGTGTTTTGATTTTAGCTAGACGTACATGTTATGAGGATAATTCAATATCTTCAATTAACAAATTATAGAGAAGAAAAGTAATATAGGGGATTAAAGGAGATCAGATCAGCGTACGTAAATAATTTTTGTTTTTGAGGATCTCTATATCTCCATGTATCACGTTCTGTTTACGACTAGTCAATCTCCCGAGTATGCCTTTCTTACTTATAGTATTTGGTTATAGGTTCAATTTCTTCTGTTTTTTTTTAATCCATTTTACCAAATTATATGTAAAACCAAGTAATCCATTTAATTACTTCATTAAAAAAAGCAATTCCAGTTATACTTTTGTATTCGAAACTGGGTTGCCCTGATAAATTCTTGATGAATTCCGTCTTTAGTGAGATTCGAAATTGGGTTGCGCTGATACCATCAGCAATATACCAAAACTCTGAAATTGTGATGAAGAGCTGTATTCTAATAATTTATTAGCACGTATTGACAAGCTGGCTGCATGCCCTTGGAATTGCAGGACAACACAAATTTGGCGTAAAGCAAATTCCGATGGAAATGTCTTCGCTATAAACTAGCTTTAATTTTTGATCATGCCAACCCGATCATCAGTCGCACGATCCCTGAATCCGTAGCGAGACTTGTTGAGGCAAACCGCCTCGGACGCGTCCCGCTAGATTTGTTGCTTTTTAATCCTTTTTCCCTTCTCTTGTTTCCAGTGTACTGGATTTTTTTTAAAAAAAAGTTCGAAAAGCAAACGAGTTGTTTCTCAAGAGCACTAGATATACTTGCTCCGGACCAATTATAGATAAGATTTATTTATTTGAATTTTGGGATTTTTCAAGAAAGGCGTGTATACGTACGGAAACCTATGGTGACAATTAGAATGTCTAATTATTATTCCCGTTGCGTACACGAACCACTAAAATCAAATCAGAGCAAGCATGGATAAGAAATCTACTAGGCGCGGCCAATGTTGTTATAATTTAACTCGGAAATGCCCCAATTTCAAGGCCGGGTAAAACAAGGGCGAAGCTTCTAATACAAACATCTAAAACTTCACTCAAGTGAAACACATTTTCAAATCACTACAACAATGTAGCTTTCTTGCTGCATTACAAAAAGCAAGGAAGCATCATAATTCACTTCCTCTCTGTATACACAAAAACACAAGGAAGCCCCAAACATATCATATGGATATGACATAGGCTGCTATATCACCAAAAGCTTTACCCTCTACAGAAACAAAGCATAAGAAATGCTAACTAGTCATTCACTGGCATCACCGGAATCCGGCGATCCATCATCACCAGTCGATTCATCATCGCCAGCTCCCGCTGATCCATCCCCAGCAGAATCCGCCATCTCAGAGTCTGATACTATCTCAGTTTGCTTCTCATTTTTCGGTGAACTGTCTTCAGAGTCTGAAACCATTTGAGCACTGTTACGAGTTGGTCTCTGCCTCAGCCGTTTCTTAGTCTCTGCAGGGCCCTCAGAAATCTCTGTAAATCTTTGGCTCCTTCGTACTCCTACTGCAGCTTTAGTCCTTGCATTGTTCTGATTTATTGTTTGTTTTGGAGAATCATCATTTTCTTCATCAGAGCTAACAAAATCTCCTTCTTCTTCTTCTTCTTCTTCTTCTTCTTCTTCTGCTTCTTCTTCTTCTTCTTCTTCTTCAACGTTGCTGTCATTGTCGTGTTCATCTTTTTCATCATAATCATCATCATCATCATTATTGTCACTTTTATACTTATTATATTTCTCATCACTATGATCATTTTCATCCTTGTCGCTCTGGTACTTGTCTTCTTCATCATCCGCAGGATTTTCATGCATCTCATCATCTGCTTCTGAATTTTCTTCACCTAGTTTCTTATTTCCATCTAATGTAACCTCATTAGCAGATCCACGAGTGCGTCTACCATTCTCCTTTTCTGAACCAGTTGTCTTTGATTTCCTAAATTAGGAAGGTAATCACCAAAATTAGTTTTCCTTTTCCACCTCATGTGCACATTTCATAACAGAAAACTGTACTATACATGCATATAGGAAACGAGCATACAACCATCCCTTCATTGAATTTTCTTTTACAAACACTTGAAAGACATTGAAACCAGCAGAATGATTTTTGAAGCAATTTGTCAATACTATGGCTTTATAAAGCAATGAGCTTGCGGTGCTTAAAAACTATGTAACTTCAGATTCATTTATGCAAAAAAGAAGATATGTGAAACAATAATAAGACAGATGAATATTTAACAGCAAACATATATTTGTGCCCGCTCTCAAAAGCACCTGCTGCAGCTTAGATGAGAGATTGATGTTATGAAAACTCATCAAATGAATGAGATAACTAAAATATGGCAACTTCTGAAAAATCATGGAACCAAAAGTCATCTCACATTCCTTAATTGGTGGCAAACTTACTGCCTAATCAATGACTCTGTCAAAGTTGCTCAATCGAAATGAATAAAACTGAGGGGGAGGAAAAGGCTTATGCTGATAACATACTTTGATATCTGTATAGCCTCATCAATGGACCGATCATATTCATCTGCACATAAACCATAGAAAGCAAATACAGATACATAAGAGTTGCAGAATGTGATGAAACAGAGCAATTACATTGACAGCTAAGAGGCATGTTTGATTGCCTAGCTATAGAGGTTGAAAAAAAGGAAGCAAGATTGTCTTGAAACTAGAAGAAAAGTACACCTGATAGACAAAGAAACATACAGCATGGCAAGAGTGGGCAAGTAAACTGAACAAACAAGTAGGCATGCAATGACCTTTTCTGTCAATAACCACCTTGCCAGCAGGCCCAGTACCTATTTGTTACTTTCCATTAGACTCCCTCCCTTGTGTAATGTCTACCATGAGATACCTTATTTTCTCACGATAAAACGTAGAAAAAACTTCAGCCTTCGAATGGTATCAGACTCTATCATAATTGCCAGTGTCAACACCTCAATACAGACATAGCAACATCTCTTCTTTCCTTGAGAAATTGAAGGTATATGTGACAAAAAATAAGGACACAGCCCAAACTGCAATAGATCAGCATTTATGCAAATATAGACCAACTTCCCTTTAAATCCAAGGAAGTGGTTTATACATGATAAAGGATCAAGTCAACCATGTCAATGGCAAAACAGGCTTTCAACCAGAACATCTCACGTCATATTACTTCTTGGTTCTGAAAGACATTAGAAATGAGTAGATATTAAGAGTCGAAATGTTTGAAAATTGCTTCTGGCGAGATCATAACATGATTACCTTTAAAAGCTTATGGTGTCCGTTATTCCTGGTGATTTATAATGTATTTAGTGGTTTGCAAGTTGAAACTTTAAATATAAATACAATTTTATAAGTCCATAGCCATGCCTTACATGCTTGAGAATAAGAAAGATATCCCACCCAAAAATATTACCTCCCAACAACTTGACTTGAGAAAATCCACTGTTTTTTGTTAGTTGGGACAACTGCATTTAGCACTGGTCAAATTAGTCAATGCACAATTCACACAAAACGCAGTTTCAGTTTCCTGATTAGGTTGCATTGCACCAATTACTACATAATTAATGATTAAAATTTTTACAATTGTCCCCGACGAGTTTATATATTTGTAAACGTAGTACATATTCACATCATTAGTAATATTATCAAATATGTCACTGGTAACAGATTCTCAAGTTAGAAATTGAAATTGAAAAGTGAGTTTGATGACCGCCCCCCCCAACCAAAATAAAAAAAACTTCAGACCTATCACAAAACCCTCAAGTTTTGGGGTTCTCAGAAAACCCTCTTCAACTTTCAACATCTTTCAAAAGAAACCCTTAACGATGTTAAGCGCAAATTTCTTGTGGATGGGTAAAATTACACAAGGAAATATTTTTGCTAGTAAAAACCACGGCACATTTTTATGGGATTTTATGACATTTTAAAATTTAAGCTGAGTTATCTAAAAAAATTCCCAAATGCTAAGTGGTTCTTGGTCCTTGATCAAAGTGGGGTCAAGTGACCCCACTTTGGTCAAGGTGGATCCGCCACTGGCACCAATGAACGGTTCAAATATTTAAATAAATTCAGCTGAAACAAGGAGGCTTATCTTTTTTTTACGGAAGGAAAATTACTTTGATACTATCACACAAAAACAAGAGCAATTATTGACAAGTACAGAATATGCATGTAAACATGCGAGCTTCTGACTGGCAAGATAGAATAACTTCAGCATCAACAGAACCATGTCTTGACATCTAGGGACAAGATAAATTCAAATCCACGTTTCATACATCCAATGGGAGCAACCCCTTCAGTCCCAACCTATTGCACTGCAAGGTCAGCTCCTAGACCAAGGGAGCAGCCACCTCCTTATGGCCTCCCAGTGCTAGTTTTGGCCACAATCAGAAAAAACACTTTAGAAATAGCATCCATTATTGGAAATAGTAATGCGGGCAAAACTTACAGCCTTCCTATTTTCTAAATGGAGATTGCATTCGCTTACAGAATTAAAAATAGAAAGATAATAAACGCCATCACTATATATCTCAAACTCTAATGTTGCAATGACTCAGTCCTCTGTCAACAATCAAGTAAATTAGGTTATATAAATCATCATGAACAATCTAACACTTCTGGAAAATATAAAAAGTAAATTAAATTGGTGCACGATATCTGATTATAACTTACCGACTACCATTTATTCCAATTTTTTGGGATCCGCTATATGAATCTTATTCTTCCATTAATTTCTATTTCGGGCTATCTCTACCATTAAGTTAACTAATATCGTATCCATTTTAAGGTGCTTCCAACCAAGTTTTGCTCGATATCTTTGCCTCATTAACTATAATATTATCATTTTTCCTAACAGTTCACTAAGAGGCCTCCTTTGTACATAACCAAACAATCTCAAACGATTCTCTAATTTTATCCTCAATAGGAGCAACCTCTAATCTCCCATAGATGCATTCATTTCTTATCCTTTTCTATATTAAAATTTTGAAGAAAAAAAAACTGTACCGCGATCAAAATAAGCTGTTAATCTAGACTGTGCACTGTGTTAACAAATTAATGATCTCAAAACATAATGAGAAGACCCATACCAAAAGTGTAGCGCACAGGCCGCTCACGACAGGATCGAGTTACCCCTACTCTACTATAGTTCAAGAAATCATTTAACTGTAGGGCTTCCCTTTGTTGCCGCTTCCACGCTCTCTCTTTCTTCTGTAAGTGGTACAAAGATTAAGGAATAAAAATATATAGAGACAAAAATGTCTACTAAAAGGAGATTAAAATTCTGATTAGACATAATATTTGGAAACTTCCATGGGAATTAAACATAGGTTGAGAATGGTATGACCTGCTGGAGCTTTGCAAGAATGGGAATTATCTCGGTTTTAATGATCTCACCGACAGAAGCTTCTACACTAATATTGCTGGATGATAGCTTTTCCTGACAATCCAAAGAAAAGAAAACAGTTAAGTAAGGTCATCATTCCATATAAGGAACAAAAAAAAGGAGCCTCACTGATATTTCTTTGAATTCCCCAAACTCAGTTGCCACAGTCTCCCACTGATAGTTATTTGTTGGTTGTGGTGCACCGCCCTTTCCCTTTGCCTTCCGTCTGGAATCAACCTGAACTACTTCCTTGTATAACCTATAGCCAATGACTGGATCTCCATCATACCTTACAGAAGAAAAGAAGACTAGGATCAGCAGAATAAGAAACAGTATATCCCAGCATTACGTAACATTAACACAAATCTAGGAAACGGAAAATTGATTGAATGTGTTCAGCATTCACTTTGCTTAATGATATTAATAACTCTTTCCAAAACATTCTACAGGAAATACGAGTGAATTTTAAAAATAAAATAAAATAAAATAGAATTGTTAAAAGGGAACCTTTTCATTCCTAAACAATGACACATCAAACTTGTTTAAATTATGGTTTGTTTATGATCGGATGACAGCAGGCCTAAAGTCAGTAGTAGTTTGTTTCAGATCGGATGACAGCAGCAGCAGCATGTGTGTTTGTGGTTAACATTCACAGAGAAAGAGAAGGTTTCGATGCATGTGTGTTTGTGTGTTGGATGCTAGTGATGTGATACAATTGATTCAGAATAGGTAATAAGCATGGATGGCGATTATAAGGTAGGTATCATGAAATAAACAACAGCAAATTCTATAAGCTTCATATAAGCAAAAAGTTGCATCTGTGTGATAAGGCCCAGAATTAAATATGAATCAGATAGGAATTAGATCTGAAGGTATAGTTACCAGTAACTAACTCCATTGCCAGCACCACCTATCCTTTCTTTGCGGAAAGTGGCGAGCTCAGTTCCCTTCTTCAGTTCATCAGTTATGTAGCTCAATATATCATCTTGCTGCAAAATATTCGCAATAGTCACTTCAAGTTTGCACAAAAAAAGAAAACAGAGTAAAATCTGAATACGACCCAAGGACCCAAAATACTGAATCATAAAAGCCATTTTCTGGTGTCTTAGAGAACAGCAAATATTCTTGAACTACATATCCAATGGGATTATGTATTGCACATTTTTCAACAATTTGACAATAAAATTGAAAGCTAAAAGTATTACTTGCGCACGAACTTCACAAATAGCTTTCAAGATCCCCATTCGAGTAACTGGATCAAGCAGTTTATATCTCTGAATTTCCTTCCTGCATGAGTGAGGATGCCAATTTATATTCTAGGATAAAGCATCTAGTAAGAATCTATAAGATTTTGACCATGCATACCCGTGATCAACTTTAAGTGGATTATCTCCTTCTGCGACCTGCTCGGAGAGAAACTAGGTAAGCAACTAGTGCAACTTCTTAGAGGTGAAATTGAAGTGGAAAGACTTCGAATGGAGAATATGAAAGTAGATAGTGTTAACATACCCATGGCCACCATGTAACAAGTTTCCTACAGACTACAGTCACCCAGGTATCAGCCTCTGTCATTTTTTTGTTCACAGGTGGTATTCCCTGGTAGGTCACATAAGCTTACTTAATTTAGTGATTAGTCATCACAAGCCAGCTATGTAGATTGTCAGAGCAAAATCTAGAGAAACTTTACATACACCATACTGAGACTAAATAATCATACCTGATAAATAAAAGGAGGCTGTACAAGTAAACAATAATAGTCTAATAAAGGGAACAGTGTAAGTAAATGGACAATGGCACTTTAGAAGCATATAGCAGATGTCATAAAAGTGCAACATCAGATCTAAAATTGTGAACAGCAACATGACTGCCACCTTATAAACCAGGAGGAGACTTGAGCAATTCCAATGACTATAAAATGTCTTTATACTATTAGAGTTAAATTTTCTACACCCATTCATGAGAACCACCAACAATTGCTAGTATTTTGCACATGAAATCGTATGTAAACAAAAATCTAGCTGGATAATTTAAAAGTTTTTATGCAAGTTATAATAATGCAGGGGTATGTGCACAGAAAGACAGCACGGGGGTGTGGTGTAGACTGGACACATATGGAAGCATGTTAAGAAAAGACCAGATGCCATGAGTATATAATAGATTAATCATTATATTGCTAATTATGTAGGGGTATGTGTACAGAAAGATGGCACGTGGTTTTGGTGTAGGTTGGACACATATGGAAGCGTCTTAAGAAATGACCTGATGCCATAAGTATAAAATATATTCATCATTATATCGCTCGTGAGGATTTGGACAGCTTTAAAAGCTATAATTAAATAAATAAAGGCAGACAGAAGTACATGATATGGTCTTCCTATTTTGACACTTCATCCCGCTACAGCTTCGATACTTTTTCGGAATTGTGAGCAATGGGTATGGCAAAAAAATGTATAAAACGCCTAAAGTCTCAAAACTGAGTAAAACAATGCACATTCATATTTTGAAGCACATGGTTATAGAAGTAATAACAGTTAAAGCTATGTTAATTAAGGTCATTTCCATAAAAGTAATATACTATTAATAATGGCATGGCCTCAATCTATAAGTGTAGGTAAATGCTGGATAAGAAGATATAAAAGGTCACGTTCTACTTTTCTCGAAAGACATGCTTTCGACTATTTATGAGAATCTAATGTATTTATATTTGTTTCCAGTTGACAAAAGAATACTTTCAACTTTTTAATATTTAATGCTCAAATTTCAAAGTAGTTCATAGCAGATAAATTTCAAAATAGCACCTTCAGTTGTTCTCTAGGCATGATATGGGAAAATGTCAAGCAGATGGGATATGCACCAGATATTGGTGTAATGGAACAATTGTAAGGGATAAAGAGGGAGGGTTCATTTGCACCTACAAAATGCAGCTGCAGTAACTTATAAGGAGGGGGGCAGTTTTTAAATTTCTCAGTGTGTGACATGCAGAGAATTATCCAGAGTTCAAAAGCAACTCTCTTTTCGCACATTAAGATGTTATTACATAGAAATTAAAGATGCATAGCTCGACTGGAGACACATCCGAAAATTTTTAATGCTCTTCTAGGTTCTCTCTAAGTGATCTTCTGAAAGAACTTACTCTTTTAACTTTTGTGGTGCTTTTCTTCCAGAGAAGCTTTTCTCTCTAGGTGATACTGACAACATTCTACACAATTGAATAGTCGATACAAGCTAAGCTTTTCTTATTTCTTCCTGATCATGTTTACTCAAGGCATCATGTGCTCCATGATATGATAAAGAAGGAAGAAAATGTATCGTC